GGTTTAGGGTTTAGGGTTTAGGGTTTAGGGGTTAGGGGCTAGGGTTTAGGGTTTAGGGTTTAGGGCTGGGGTAACGGGTGTAGAGTTAGGGTTTGGGGTGCAGGGCTTAGGGCAACGGGCGTCGCTTGGCAAACCCTAAACCCTAAACCCTAAACCCTAGGGTTTTGTTTTATGCTGCAGTGCATCTGCATGTTTCCTGCGTGGCCGCTGAAGCTGAAGATTGGGGTTTGGTACATAGCGGTTGTATTCCTGACGATACTGGTGAGCTAGGGTTTAGGGTTTAGGGTTTAGGGTTTGTTATTTTCGCATCCGCGTGGGCGCATGCTTTGTTTCAGGGTTTCGTGAGGGTTTAGGGTTTTTGGTGCGCGGGCGTGCCTGCGTGGGCGCGCAGCGCCCGGGCCAGAACCAGGGTTTAGGGTTTAGGGTTTAGGGTTTAGGGTTTGTGCGCGCAGCTGTTTCTGATCGTGCTGCGGCTGGTGCTGTTTTTGCTGCTGTGGTTTGTGGGGTTTGACTTCTGGCTGCTGCCAAACCTCTTCAATGAAGACGCGGGTTTTGTAGATTCTTTTCTTCCTTTTTTCGAATTGAAGAAAATGCAAAGCACCTGGACCCTCCTCGCCATCCGCCTCTTCTCCGCAGCCCTCACAGCAGGCGGGCCTAGGGTTTAGGGTTTAGGGTTTAGGGTTTGGGGTTTGGGGTTTGGGGTTTGGGGGGTGCGGTTTAGGGTTTGGGGGTTTTAGGGGGTTGGGGGCCTCTGCACGGGTTTTTCAGGGTTTAGGGTTTAGGGTTTGGGGTTTAGGGTTTGTGTCGTTTGGAAGTTGTTTTCTTGGTTTTTTGTCTAAACGGACGAAAAAAAGCTGGCGAGGAAGAAAAAGAACAGCAGAAGTTCTTTCGAAACCCTTTTGGAGGGTTTCGAAAGGACTAAACCCTAAAAAAGGGTTTAAAGTGACTCTTTTTTCCCTTGCAGCCACTCTCTACCACCTCAGCGAAACCCACTCCCCCACAGATGTCGCCGCCTTCGCCTCGCAGTCTTTCATCGACGTTTTGGACTGGGGAAGACTCAGACTCGAGGCTCGTAAGTTTATTATTTATTTATTTATTTAGTTAGTTAGTTAGTTAGTTAATTAGTTAATTAATTTAATTAGTTAATTAGTTAATTGGTTAATTAATTTAATTAATTAGTTAGTTAATTGGTTAATTAATTGGTTAATTTAATTAGTTAGTTGATTAGTTAATTAGTTAATTCATTGTTTAATTGGTTAATTTAATTAATTAGTTAGTTAATTAGTTAGTTAGTTGATTAGTTAGTTAAGTTAATTAGTTAGTTAATTAGTTAGTTAGTTGGTTAGTTAATTAATTAAATTAATTAACTAATTAACTAACTAATTTAATCATTTATTTATTAATTTGTTTTTTTATTTGCAGCTTATTTAAATACGAGCAACGCCTTGCCCAGCGCGGCGGCGCCTCAAGAGGAAAATGGAGAAGTCCAGGAAGAGCCAAATGTCTTGCCAGGTAATTTAAATTAATCAATTTAATTTAATTTAATTAATTTAATTTAATTTAATTAATATAACATAATACAATTTAATTGTTTAGATTCGTTTGTTTGCATTTAATTGCATGGTTAAATGCATGTTATTGCATTTAATTGTTTTAAATGAATTTAATTGCATTTAATTGCATTTAGTTTCGTTTGACTGCATTTAAATGCTTTTAATTGCATTTAATTAAATGAATTTAAATGCATTTAAATGCATTTAAATGCATTTAATTATATTTAAATGAATTTAAATGCATTTAATTATATTTAAATGGATTTAAATGCATTTAAATGCATTTAAATGCATTTAATTATATTTAAATGGATTTAAATGGATTTAAATGAATTTAGGTGGATTTAAATGAATTTAAATGCATTTAATTATATTTAAATGAATTTAATTGCATTTAATTGCATTTAATTTCATCTTATCATATTTAAATGAATTTAATCGCACTTAATTATATTTAAATGAGTTCAATTGCATTTAATTGCATTTAATTGCATTTTATTATGTTTACATGAATTTAATTGCATTTAATTATATTTAAGTGAGTTTAATTGCGTTTAATTGCTTTTAATTTCATTTAAATTCATGTAAATGCATTTAAATGCATTTAATTGCATTTAGATCTGTTTTATTTTTTCAGAAAGCTAAAAATAAATGATTTTAAAAATTAAAATTAAACCAACTTTCATTTGGACTTCATTTTCATGTTTTTTTACTTTTTTTTCGCATCAAAATTTATTATCAATTTATTTATTCATTATTTATTTATTTATTATTTATTTATTTTTTATTATTATTTATTTATGTTTATTATTTATATTTATTTATGTATTTATTATTAATTAATTAATTAATTAATTTATTTATTTAGATGAAGAAGACTACCGCTGTTTGGCTCCTTGCGGGTACAAGTCCTTCGAAGACTTGATGGCTTCAAAGTGCCTCGTTAAGTGCAGCTGCATGCAGGTAAACCCTAAACCCTAAACCCTAAACCCTAAACCCTAAGCCCTCAAGTAGTACCTAAACCCTCAAGGAGTCCTTAAACCCTACAGGAGTAGTTCTTAAACCCTAGAGTAGTTCCTAAACCCTAAACCCTAAAGTAGTGCCTAAACCCTCATGTAGTCCCTAACCCCTAAAGTAGTTCCTAAACCCTAGGGCAGTTCCTAAACCCTAAACCCTAGAGCAGTCCTAAGCCCTAAACCCTTAACTAGACCCCAAACCCTAAACCCTAAGTAGATCCTAACCCTAAACCCTAAACCCTCGCGCCCACCCCCTTGTCCGTTTGCCCTCGACCATCCAACCTTCACCCTCCCAAATCCATTTATTTGTTCACATTTGTTCATTTATTATAATTTATTTGTTCATTATTTATTATTTATTATTTATTATTTATTTATTTATTATTATTTATTTGTTCATTTATTGTTTAGGAGTTGGTGGACTCGGACTGCTTCAAGAGCTGTCAAGACACCACAAGGGCGGCGATCGAGGAGGCGCGCGGCGATGCATGCAGAGAGGAGGAGAGCAGAAAAGCTCGGAAGCAAAAGAACAAAAAGTGAAGAAATTAATTAAATTAAATGAATTAAATGAATTAAATGAATCAAATTCATTCAAATTAATTCATTTCATTCAATTCGGTCTCTTTATTTCCTTTCCTCCAGTTCATTCCATCCAATTCCACCAAAAATTGAGCCGGGGCCGCCGACTCTGCGAAAGTTCAACGCAGCAGCAGCAACAGCAGCAGCAGCTGCTGCTGCTGCTGCTGTTGCTGCTGCTGCTCATGATGTTGGGGCAGCGGCAGCGGCGGCTGCGGCAGCAGCAGTTGCGGTGCTGCTGCTGCTCTTGCTCAGCTGCTGCCGCTGCAGCAGCTACACGCTCCCGCTGCAGCGAAGCAGCTGCAGCAGCAAACACTGCTGCTGTTGCTGCTGCTGCTGCTGCAGCAGTTGCAACCTGGAATCAGGGGTATCATTTAAAATTGTATTTTAGCTGCTGCAGACAGAAGTAAACACAAGTGTATAGGCAGCTCAGAAACAAATCATGTGAAACGGAGCTGTTTCTAATACAGCAGCAGCA